CAGCAATGAGACAGTTTCAAAACCAATTAGTAGGACAGTTTCAATACTTTTAATACATTGCATGTTGTTGTCTTAGTGGTTATTCATTGGACAAGATGCAGACGTGATAGCCTGTCCACAAACTCTATTAGAACTAATCTTTCTATTCATTGAATTAAGAGAATGTAGCTGCATATCTATCATAATTGAATATACAGATACAAAATTGTTGTTCATTTGTATCCCCTTTGTTTAGTTTTGTCAGAGACAGGCATTCCACTGTCATTTAAATATTATAAGTGCACGAACGCAGCAAAATATTCCAATATAGGCCAGCAGTCCATAATAGTAGTGGGTTTCCGCAGGACTGGCGATGTCAGAAGTTGTTGACTTGAGCCTTTTACAGCTCAGCAGATTAATATGGTTTTGATATTTTTTGAGGTCTTTATTCTAGGTAGTAATCCTTTGCTTGAAGAACAGCTGGCAAACACTTTTTCCCCAAACTGTGAGTTGTCTGTCCATTCTGTTGGTGGTTTCTTTTGCTGTGTAAAAGCTTTTTAACAAGTCGAGATCCTATCGGTTGATTCTTTAGGATAGTTTCTATGTGATCAAGGTTTTGTTCATGTAACTCTTGCCTCCCCCGCTGTCCTCAAGAGTTCTACCTATTCTCTCTTCCAGCAGATTTAATGTTTCTGTTGCAATATTTAGACCTTGGATCTTGATTTTAGTTTAGTGCACAGTGAAAGATATGGGTTCAATTTTAATCACTGGAAGGTCAAAAGCCAATTTTCCAGCACCATTTATTGAAGAGGCTGCCTTTCTTTCAGTGAAGGTGTTTGGCGCCTTTGTCAAAGATAAGGTGCCTGAGTGTATCTTGAATTATTTCTCCATCTTCTAATCTGTTTCATTGATCTTTGGGTCTTTTTTCCCCAGTAACATGCTGTTTTTATCACAGTAGCTTTGTAGTATAATTTTTAAAATTATTTTTTTATTTAATGTATTTGGTTGTTGCAGAGTCTCACTATGCAGCTCAGACTTGTAGTGATCCTCCTGCTTTCAGCCTCCCCAGTGCTGGGATTACAGGCATGAACCACCACACCCAGACTCTGGCTGGCTCAGCTCACCCTGGGGGCAGGGCTGGTGCAGGGGATTGAACTGCAGTCCTTGTGCTTGCCAAAGCTTGCCTAAGCAGGCACTTTAGTCTGCTGAGCTATCTCACTGACCAACGTAGTATAATTTCAAGTCAGGGATTGTGATGTCCCCTGTCTTGCCTTTGTTGCCCAGGATTGTTTTTGCTATTCTAGGTCTCTTCTGGCTCCCAATGAATTTTAGGGTCGATTTTTCTAATTTTGCGGTTGGAATTTTGATCGGGATTGCATTAAATCTGTGTAACAATGTTGGAAGTGTGGCCATTTTCACTATATTGGTTGTTCCTACACAAGAACATGGGGTATCTTTCCATTTTCTGAAATCCTTTTCAATATCCTTCTTCAGCGTATTGTAGTTTTCAAGGTAAAGGTCTTTTACTTCCTTTTTATGTTGATCCTTAAGTATTTCATTGCTGGGGAGATAGCCCAGTGGCATAAGTACCTGCCTGGCAAGAGCAAGGTCCTGAGTTCAATCTCTGTTATTTAAAAAAAAATGAAAAAAACATTGTGCTCATTCTTACGCATGTGGGTTTTGTCTCACCGCAGTCTTGATTGCATCTCTTTAGTGATTAGTGATGTTGACCTTTTCATGTGCTTATTGGCTATTTATATGTCTTCTTTGGAGAAATGTCCACTCAGATCCTTTGCCTGTTTTAAAACTTTTAAACTAGGTTCTTGTTTATCTTGCTAGTGAGTTGCAGAAGAGATAGTGGTGATTAGATTTATAGCAAAGGGATACGTCAGTTATTAAAGATAACAATCACTTGACACAAGAAGTGGTGGAGTATGTAAAAGTAAGAATTAGGAGGCCAGGGAGATAGCTCAGTAGAATAAGTACTTACCTGGCAAGGACAAGAGCCTGAGTTCAATCCCGGGTTCTGAAAAAAAAAAAAGAGAGAGAGAAATGTGAATTCTATATCTTAATAGAATGAATAAATGTGATATCCCACTAGGAAACCAGAAAAATAATTTTTTTTTTTTTTTTTTTTTTTGTGGCAGAACCAGGGATTAAACTCAGGCCCTTGTGCTTGCCAGGCAAGCTCTTATTCTACTGAGCCATCTCCCTGGCCCCAAAACCAGAAAAATAAACATCCATGCCAGCCAAAAGCTATTGGAATTTTAATTTTATAAAAGTAGCTTTGTCAAAAAAAAAAAAAAAAAAAGAAAAAGTAGCTTTGTCATTTGATGAACAACAAAACAAAATGAATGCTCAACACACACACACACACACACACACACACAGTGACTTCACGAACTGGGTCACTATCTGTGAGGCTCTGAGGAGCAGGTAACGTGACAATCTTACATATGACAACAATTGCCATGGCTCAGCCAGTGGGAGAGGGAGGGAGGGATTTACTGTCTAAAGCCACCCAGTAGGGTAATGAGAGCTAGGACCCTGCTCTTAGCCATAATCCTGTTAGAGCTGTAGAAGCTGCGAGAAGTTCAGCAACTTGAACCATACAACTGATGGCACAGTTTTCATTTCTAGAATTTGGGTGGTATTTTAAAAGCCGGATTCCTTTTTGCAGCATAGCTACCACACTGGGAGTTTTAAGTAATTTTATCTTATAATCTCTTTAAACACAGTTAATGTTTGGGGCTTTCATCTTCGATTTCTCGCATCCTGTCTTGCTTGCTGATCACCAACTCTTTCTTCCTTCAGCTTCTCTGCTAATTTATCAGCACGGGGGTTCTTTAATCGTGTGGGTAGCTCAAATCCAACCTCCAAACACGGTGACACACAGGTTAACCCGTAGCTTAGTAATCTCAAGGGGCACTGTCATTTTAAATTTCTAGGCCAGTAGGAGATTTCCAGCTGAAAAGAATCTTCCGAGGACAAGGGGCCTCCTGTATTTTTCGAGCCACCTTTCACCAGGGAGGAGAGCCCCGCACATTGCAGCTGTCCCAGCTCGAATTCTCTTGCAGGAACTGAAGACCTGTCCCATCCTCATTTCTCTAATTTATTCTTTTCCAGTTGAGACTCTTTTGTAAACTCTCGCGAGAGCTTGGGGAGGTCATGTCTCTGGTTGGGTCCATGCCATTTTATGTGTGAAGCGAGAGTTGGATGAAGTGACGAAGTGACCCGGGAGGCCTTTGGCAGCTCCACATGCTAGCATGTGTCCTCACCGTCTCGGTCTCCGGTATATCCAGAAAGACCCATTTCGCATCTTGGAGGAAACCCAAGTGTCACAGGCATGGACAACTCATCTTGCTTTATGCTTCTGGGATAATCGCCCCTAAGTCATAAATTGTTATGAATCATCTGGTTCAAACAAGCTCCCTCTCTAAACTGTTCCAAGCACACTCCACTTATGAAAGTCGGATTCCTAAGACCCAAGCTCACAAGGCTTTTCATTAGGTGTCCGAAGGGGTTGTCACAGAACTCCTCCAGGCCATGGAGATCTCACCTGTGGATGCCTGAAATCTCAGTGTGCAGAGGTTCCCTGAGACATTCATTTAGGATCACAGGTGCTGCATGCACTAGGGACACCTGTGGCCCCTCTCCATGGTCCTGATTCCCCGCCCCCCATGAGGGAAGGTTCCGAGAGCATCCCCTCTTCCAGCTGCTTTCCTGCTGCCCATCTGTCAGGCGAGGAACTTGTTGTTCTCATTCCTGCTTTATCTTCTTTTTCTATTTCTTCAGGGGTCCCCAAGGTGTGGTCCTCAGCCTCTCTTTTCGCGACTCCCCCCTCCCAGCCACGTGGGCTCCCTGATGTCCCTCCCTGTGCACACTCTACTCCCTCAAGCCTGCATCAACCCTGCAGTTTCCGTTTTCTCTCTCTCTGCTTCTTAGAATCCAACACGTGCCAGCACAAATCCACTAAGAACTCCCAGCCCCCAATATGCAAATCACTGGTCACCCATCACCTTCTGCCTTGGATTATCATCTCCTGCTTATGTCCCCACTCCTGGACACATGCCTGTTCAATGTGAACCCCTGTGTGGCAGGGACCCAAAGATGAATTCGGCCTGCCCTGGCTCCCAGGGGACTCCAACAGAGAGAGATGAATCTGGGAGTTTTGGGGTGCCCTGCTGCTGGTAAAGGGGAGCTCAGAGCGGAGCGAGGGCGCCACATACGTCCTGGCAGCACGGTCTGATGGAAGGACCTGTGTTGGAGTCTGAGCGGCATGACTATGTCCTTCCCTCCTTTCCTGTGCTGTCATCTGGAAGGCGGGAGTTGTATCGCTTGCCTCAAAGGGTTGCAGTGAGCTTGGTGGCTGAGATCACACATGTGAAACGTGTCCAGCGCCACCGCGGGCTCCAAGCAAGCGCAGGCCTTTGGGCCACAGCACCAGCCTGGGCTTCTGCTCGTCACAGAGTTCTGAGCACAGCTCTTACTGGATGGGGAACATCATCATGAAGACATCTGGACCACAGGGCCACCAGCAACCAGGTCACTTGAGTTGTCCCAGAGGGGATCCTTTGGCTTTCTGACAACCATGGATTTGACATTTGGAAATCTGACATAGAAAAAGATAGCAGGGCAAGAGTTCTGCTTTTCTAATTCATTGAGGAGCAGTGAGGTTTGTCAAGTGCTGAGGCGCTCAGGTCAGAGGCCGAGCAGCCGGCCTGTCCTGCACTGCCACACCCGCTAATGACGGCCAGGGCTTGCATGAACGAAGGGCTTTGAAGCCTCATCAAGAATCCCTGACTTTATGACACACGGCCCGCAAGGAGTCCCGCCTTTGGGAGAAGCCCAGGCAAAGCCTTTTACGAGGTGGGGACTCTGCGTAGGAAACACATAACAAACTGAGGGAAGGGCTTTGACCATCACTAAATGAGCCTAAGAAGAGCTGCCAGACAGGTCCACACCCTCGGCAGAGGGGGTATAAAGGCTGCCTGTGGAAGAGGGGCCCACAATCTCCACAGCTTGGAGAACTCGGATCCGTCTTCAGCCCGGCACCTCGCTCCCTCCTCAGCCACCATGCCCTATACCTGCTGCCTGCCCGCCCTGAGCTGCCGCACCAGCTGTTCCTCCCGGCCCTGCGTGCCCCCCAGCTGCCACGGCTGCACCCTGCCCGGGGCCTGCAACATCCCCGCCAACGTGGGCAACTGCAACTGGTTCTGCGAGGGCTCCTTCAATGGCAGCGAGAAGGAGACCATGCAGTTCCTGAATGACCGCCTGGCCAGCTACCTGGAGAAGGTGCGCGAGCTGGAGCGCGAGAACGCGGAGCTGGAGCGGCGCATCCAGGAGCGGAACCAGCAGCAGGAGCCCTTGCTGTGCGCCAGCTACCAGTCCTACTTCCGCACCATCGAGGAGCTGCAGCAGAAGGTGGGCAGGGGGGGGGGCGCTGTGTCCCTGCCAGGAGGTTGCCTGGAGAAAATTGGAGATAGTGCAAAAATGACAGGAGCTCTGGGTGTGTCAGGAGGGTGACACCTTGCCTTCCTTTGGCTTTCTTGAGGCCCATCTGTTTCTAGACTTGGGACTCCCAGTCTGCCTGCTGGTGTAGACTTCATCGAGGTAGAGGTTGTAGTGCGGTAGATAAATGTGCTTCTGATCCAGTACTTCTGTGCATTTGCCCTGGGGTGAGAGAAAATGACCAAGCCTAGCAGAGCTGCTGAGGACTGAGCTGGGCCATTTTCTGTGCCCAGTGGGGCACCTGGGTCTTACAGCTTCCCGATTCCTTCCTCTTCTGGGCCGATTCTCCTGATCTGGAGCGCTCTAGGCTTCTGGTATGCTCACTGTCCAGCCAGGGCCCAGGCCCAGGAAGATTGGGTGCTCCATGGAAGGAACCAGTACCAAGGCCCGCAGGAGGCGGGGAGAGTGCCTGTGTCCCTGACCCAGCCCCACACCTGCTGGTTTACATGCTTACCTTCCCTTGGGATCCAGAGTTTCCTGAGGGCAGGGCCCAGCAGACGCTCATTTTTGTTGGTTTGTATCCTAGAACTATGCCAGCCACAGTGTAGATAAGTGTGAATCATTATCAGTGTTTCCGTACCGTCTACTAGGGATAAAGCAAGGAGGCTCACCTGCTCCTGTCTCCTGCATAGCTCAGGGTTCTGGTGTCACAGGCTGCACTCCACTGCACACTGGGAGATGTGATGTGCCATGCTTTCTCACTCTTTGCTGAAGCACGTGAGCCATGGCTGCTTCGGGCTCAGCGGGAGCAAGCCCTGGCTCATCCTGCACTGTCTCCTGGCTCCTAGATCCTCTGCAACAAGTCTGAGAATGCCCGGATGGTGGTGCAGATTGACAATGCCAAGCTGGCTGCTGATGACTTCAGGACCAAGTGAGTGGGGTACTGTGCCAACAAGTGACAAGCCCCGGGCTAACGTTCCCTAGAGGCTCCCCAAGATCCACAGTGAGCCTCAGACCCCCTGTCTAGGACTCACACTTCCTCCTCCTCCTCCTCTTTCTCCTTTTCCTCCTCCTCCTCCAGAAAGTGATTCCCTCAGTCCTTCTGCGTGTCGCTGTGGACATGCAACCCCTGTGTCCCACTGTGCACAGTGCTCAGTCATGAGAACAGGAGAAGGGTACTCATATGGGAATCCTTTCAGCCGACAGACTTCTGGCCTCTCAACCCACTGGTTCTGTAAGAACACAATTACCAGTGCATTTTCCTGAGTGCTGAGAACCCTAAATGAATGAGACGGCCAGAACATGACCAAGCCTAATTCCTAGGCATCTAACAAACCAAGCAGAGCAGGCTCGGAACCAACCTGACCCCGAGTCCCCTGTGGTCACAGGTACGAGACGGAGCTGTCCCTGCGGCAGCTGGTGGAGTCCGACATCAACGGCCTGCGCCGGATCCTGGACGAGCTGACCCTGTGCAGGTCTGACCTGGAGGCGCAGGTGGAATCGCTGAAGGAAGAGCTGCTGTCCCTCAAGCAGAACCACGAGCAGGTGAAGTCCCTAGCAGGCCAGGGCTCGCAGGGGCCAGCTTCCAACTGCCACAGGCTTGCTGTACCAAGGAAGCTGTTCTCCAAACAAACGGATTTGTGGAGGATGAGTTACTGAAAACTCTGTGAGAGGAGAGCAGACTAGAGGCAGGAAGGAGGCGGAAGGAGGGTGGGCAGCTTGGTGAGGAGGAAAGGTCGCAGCTCATGCTGCTGAGGCTATAATGCCTGGTCAGAGCGCTGGAGCCATCATGGGTCTCTGTCACAGAGGAGACTGACGGCCCTGGGCCATCCAGCAGAGGGGGCCGAACAGCAGGTGACAAAGTGCAAGGCTCCTCATCTCTGCCCAGAGTGCCTTCTGCTGTTTGCTGTGGCTTGGAAGAGGTCAGACACCTGCAGCTCCGTACCCCAGGGCAGTTCCTGTCAGGACGCAAACAGCTTGCGTTGGGCAAAACATTGCAGTCAATACTTGGGAGCTGTGTGGCAAGTTTTCATGTTGAGATGAACGAGCTGGAGGCTGGACAAGCTTGTAGAAGAGAGAGAGAGAGAGAGAGAGAGAGAGAGAGAGAGAGAGACCTAGAGACGAGACACAAAGCCATGCCAAGGATCAAGTGCCAAGTTACACTGCTCTGTGAAGAGACAGCAGGGAAGCGAGCTGCTGTTTTGTACCCAGCAGATCTGCACTGGCAGAACCGCAAATCCCTGGTTAAGTTGGTTCCATTCTAGGAAGGCAAGTGTTGAAGTAGGCATTGGCCGGCCTAGGTGACTTGGTGACTCGTGCTTAAGAATCCAGCTTCAGATGCTGTGAGCTCTTCTAGCAAGGGCACCCCAGTGGGGCTTTGCGGGCCAGAATTTAAGCTGTGGGCCGCCGCGGCTCAGCTTTGAGGCCACCACACCTCGGGCTCTCCGGGAAAAGCGGAAAGCTGAAGGGAGGAGGCAATGGCTCCTGCTCTTGGTGAAGAGCAGAACAGAGATTGGTCGCTGGGTACAACCTGCCCAGGGAGAGGAGAGAAGGAGGGTAGCTCAAGAGCGCTCAGGAACCCCACAAGTCGAACCGCCTTATCCTGCAGAGAATGCCGAGATCACTGGCGACATTTAGCATTTCCGTCTCCTCCGCAGGAAGTCAACAC